ATATACAAATACATATGTATAATATACAATTATCTAATCTATATACATATACAATTCACCTCTCTCCCACTCTTTGCCCTCTCTCGCTCGCCTCTCTCCTCTCTCTCTCCCAGTCTCGCTTGCCTCTTTCCTCCCTATAACATGTAGCTACGAATTGTAATTATCAAACTATAGCTATGGAGAGTAATTAGGCTATTTTTGAGTGGCTATATGCAAAAGTTCCTCTTTAATTTTTATGTTTGTCTTCTTATAAATTTTTTAATTACAATAAAAAGAAAAATAAACTTCTTCTTAATAACCTTTTTTTTTGTAATTATATCATAACAAATATTTTTCTTTCAATAATTGACTTAATACATAACCAAATCATTAAACTTGACAGGACCACCTTAGACATTTGGGCTGCCTTGATATTTCACACCTTTTCATTCCTTCTTAAAGCCCAATTTATTATAATATAATGGACTTATGAAAAGGACCACTTGAAGCAAACTGTGAAGCCCATTATTTCGTCTGCCTCTGGCCCAGAGAAATACCCAAGAAAGGAGTTTGACTAATTAAAGCCGGTTTTCTCAATCTTTAAGAAATAGAGAACTTCCGTAAATGCATCCTTCGACTATCTAGTTTACCAATATGAATATGTACACTATCTATATATTTTGATTATATATGTGGCGTATAAGTATGTATATTATAGAGGAAAAAAATATAAATTTCACTAGTTTAGAGATTAATTATTTGATTTTTTGTGAATTTTCAATATTACCGCTCCTATCATATTTTGATTTCTAGAGATATATGAATTTCGCACGTTCAGATACAAGTATCTCAAATACATGCTAAGAAGATGTATCTAAATATGAAATTTAATTGAAACACATCCATTTATAAGCAAATCACGCATTCTTCCTTGTGTTTACATCCCTACTTTATTCAAATAAAGAAAAACGTCGTGGTGACTAAAAAAAATGAATTAAGTCGATTTTAAAAGAATTTCAAGAAAAAGAGAGTTTTAAAAGAGTCGCCCCCTAATTTTAGGAAAAACTAGGAAACCAGTTAATTAAAAATGTCAATGAAATCATTAGATTCTAGGTAAGGGGTTCAAATTATTCCGAAGGAAAGGTGTTAGGCATCTTTCGAAATCCACATATGTGAGTTCCGACTGAATTCATTTTTTTCAAATTGAAGAGGAGATAAAAACAAATATACAAGTATAACAAACATGCAATAAACACAAGCAATAAATTAAAATAATAATATAAGACACAACCTAAATTATCTAACATCGATATATACAAAATAATGAATAAAGAATATAATTCATATTTTCATTTGAACAACTTCAATGGGAAGCAACTTCGAGTACCTGTAAAAATACTTAGTAAAAGTGTTAGTAATAAATAAATATGAATAAAAGTAAATGAATTACATAATAGCTTAAAAAATAAAATGAGAGGCCTTGGAAATCGACGGTAATTTCTTCATCGGCCAATTTTAACATACAAAATATATAAAATTAAACTAAATTTCCGTGAAATGGGGTCGAGCTTAGGATTCACGTGAAATCTGCAAAAAAACAACATAAAAATCGTGAAAGGGAAAGGGGAAGGGGTCTGGTTACTTGGCTTTTGGAGGTTGTTTCCGGTGACTATTTCACCAGAAAAGGAGAAAAAACGAAGGGTTTTTGGAGTTGTTATTGTTGAGCTACTAGTGGCTGCTAGTTGTGGTGGTTTGCCGCTGGTAGCAACCAAAGGTAGAAGAGAAATGGGGTTTGTGAGTGGCGGCTGGAAAGTTTTTTAGAAAAAAAAGATTAGGTTTCTATCTATTTGGGAATTGTTTTTCTCAATGCCAAAAATATTATCCGCCACCCTTGAGTTAATGAATAAGCTATTGTTTATATATAAAATCGAAAACTACCTATAGTACAATACTATTCTCTTAAAATCGAGGGTCAAAACCATTAGTAAATAAAATATTTGCGTATGAAATTTTATCCATATTGAATGAATTTCTAGATTGTGCAAAATATCAAAATGTATATTAACAAATGTAACGAATAAATTGAATATTAAAAATTATATTGAACGTAACTAATGACATGTAAAAAATGCAATTTAACAGAAATAATAATTTAATCAAAATGAACAAATATTTGAACGTAGTCAACCGGTTATAACAAAAATAATGTAATTAAAATTATCTAATAATTTTTTTTGAATTTTTGACAAATAAGGATAAATATTGATAAACTTATTTAAAATTATATTAAAAAATGTATTTTAAACTATTAAATAAATAAAACTTAAAAATTACGAATTTTGAAAATATTAGGCTAAAATTGGGTGACAAGACCTTGAATTTGTTCTCTTATCAATTGAATAGAAAAAAATGTCCTTTTCAAATATATTATATGAAAATATACATCTCTCTTAAAAATGATATAGAACTAAAAACAAATTTCTCAATCATCACAATCATCACAATCACAATCACATTCACATTCTTGTTTCATAGTATATTTATTGAGATATATATATAGTTGATAGACAAGATATGGGCAGTCAAAAAAAATTGTCAACATAGTATTAAATTGACCCCACAATTGTCTTGCAATTTTCACTCAAACTTTACATTCTCTCTCCTTTTGGTTTCATTTTTCAGCCTTAACTAATAGTTTGGGCCCCACGATCCACATGTCAAAAAATGGGTGGAGCCTCTTCCAACTTTGGTTGGTTGGGCCTCTACCATAATAAATTTTTTCTCTACTTAGCACTTTTTTTTTTCTTTTTCTGGGGTTTCGATCATACAAAGAGGTGCCTTATTCCAACACAGTGTAAGTAGTATCTGTTGTTACTAAGATACTTAGAACAATAACTTTGAAGTACTTGGTATGAAACAACAAAGTTTAAGGAGTATTTTCAAAATTAGAAACTTAATACCAATAAAGAAAATAGAATCTGAAACAGATAAGAAATAATATATAAAATATTTTTCTCAATAAAGAAAATCGAGCCCCTTGATTAATGCACAATGTGTTCTTAGGAAAATTATTATCCTTTAAGTACACGAGGTTAATGAAATATATCCTCTAAGGATAGAATGATCTTACTCACCAGTGTATCAATACCTAAAATCACGATGTCAACGAACTACGCAACGATAGAAAAGTATACTTAGAATACTATATTTATTAGTAGAAGAAGAAGTCAAGAAATTCGTTGTTGAAAAATAATAAAAGGACCCTTTTATTTATAGACAACAAAGGATATAGTGAACATTTGTTTAATGTATCTTATTGTTTATCACAATCCTTTGGAAAAGTCAAAAGTATAACCCTTCATAAAAGTTACAATCTTACAAAAAAATCTCAACTTTTTATAAAAATTACAGCTCTTCGTAAAAGTCACAATTCTTCATTTTTCCATTGACACATTTTAAAACCAAACAGTATCTGTTCCACCGGCAAATATGTCCTACAATATTGCACTAATATCATTAAACTGTTTGTATTTATAACGAAAAATCAAACTTTATATTAGTATCAACCATATTATTTGTTGTAACCAAGAGGTCCTGAACTTTACCTAATTAGTATCGAGTCATAATTTGTGATTTATCACAAAAAATACCTCCGAATAATGGGAAGTCTGCTCAGATGTTATGAAGGTATTATTAATTATTATACTCCATCTGTTTAAAAAAGAATGATCTCCTTTTCTTTTTAGTCTGTTTTAAAAAAAATGATCTCTTTCCTTTTTTTGATAACATTTTAATTTCAGTTTTTCACGTGACATGTTTAAAGCCACAAGATTGAAGGACAATTTAGTACATTTGACATAACTTTAATTTAGGACTACAAGATTCAAAAGTCTTCTTTATTTTCTAAAACTCCGTGCCAAGTCAAATCAGGTCAATTTTTTTTAAAAGGAGGGAATACTATGTTGATATCTTGAAAAATTCACATGGGTGTTAAGGACCAGAGAATAAAATATAGGATATTTGTAGATCATGATCTGTTCCTTTTTAAACAAAATAAATAAAAAATATCTGGCCTCTTTTGCTTACTACAAGGATATACTAATTTATTTTAAGATCTAAGTATTTCATTATTGAATAAATATTCCACGTTTATAGCTTTTCTGGTCAAGCTTTGGAAAGTGAAAAATGTTTTTTAAAGATGTGCTTATTATATAACGTCTGAAGTGTTCAGCCAAGCTTCCACAGAGAAAATTAAGTGTTTTTATAGTAGCAAAAACAGGAGTTAATATGTTAAAATGTCATTGTACTATAAGAAATTATCTAGAAAAGTCATTGAACTACGTTTTGTATCAATAAAGTCACTTAACTTAAGATTTTTATCTTCAAAAATCACTCAATTATATTTATCATTAAAATAAATTTGATATAACTCAGGCAATAATTTTACTTTAAAAGTAATTCAATTTGAAAACATTTTCTCTGCCAAGATCTATTTCTTATTTCTTTTGTTCACAAGGAACCAAATGAAGAACTAGTAATAGCTATTAAAAGTTTAAAACTAATGTGTTGGCTGCTCGAGGTGTTGAAAAAACTTGTAAGTATTGAAACTGATGGACCATCTTGTACTTCTAAAAGAGGTTGTTGAGGTTCAGAAGAAGAAGATAAATCATAGTATAGTATAGATATTATCTTTGTAATTTTTTATTGTTATTTCAAACATTTATTATTTCATAATATTTTTTTTTTGTAGGATCCATGATTAAATGGCATAAGAAAAAAATTAATTTGTCATGTTAAATTTATTTTAATGATAAATTTAGTTGAGTGATTTTTGAAGATAAAAGTCTTAAGTCGGGTGATTTTATTGATACAAAACAAAGTTTAATGACTTCCTTACATAATTTCTCATAATTCAGCAACCTTTTAAGATATTAACTCCGAAAACTGAGTACAGTTTTTCAGTAGCTAAAAAAGTAGTTTTCCCATTTAGCACTTTTTGGAACATTGGCCAAACACAAAGTATTGTTCTAAAACAAAAATGGAGTATTTTCTTCTTGTTCCTCTGGTTGCCTTCATTTTGTTTCTTCATTGGTGGTTCTTTAGCCCTTCAAACACACAAAAGAGGTTATTGCCACCATCTCCAACAAAGCTTCCAATCATAGGTAATCTCCATCAACTTGGATCACTTCCTCACCGTTCTCTCCATAAACTATCCAAAAAATATGGTCCAGTCATGCTACTTCACTTCGGCAGTAAGCCAGTTCTTGTTGCTTCCTCTGTCGATGCTGCTCGGGATATCATGAAAACTCACGATCTTGTTTGGTCAGGTAGACCTAAATCTAGCATGACTGATGGACTCTTTTATGGATCTAAAGACGTGGCCTTTACTCCATATGGTGAATACTGGAGACAAATTAGAAGCATAACGGTGCTTCACCTTCTCAACAACAAAAGAGTCCAATCTTATCGTCGTGTGAGAGAAGAAGAAATATCAAACATGATTGATAAAGTTAGGCAACAATGTGATTCAGTGATAGACTTGAGAGATATTTTAAGTTGTATGACTAATAACATAATCAGCAGAGTGAACATAGGAAGGACATATAATGAAGGGGAAAGTGGAATAGCTGTTAAGGCTCTCCTAGAACAACTTCTTGTACTAACAGGTACTTTAAACATTGGGGATTATATTCCATGGCTTAAATGGGTCAATAAAATCAATGGTCTGAATAGCAGAGTGAAGAAAGTAGCTAAAGATTTGGATGCATTTCTAGAGAGCGTCATTGAAGAAGGCATGATTAGGAACAAGAAAGGAGAATGCAATGTGGGTGAAGCTATAGATTTCATGGGAGTTTTGCTGGAAATTCAGAATGGAAAGGAGACTGGTTATACTCTTCAGAGAGATTCATTGAAAGCTATCCTTTTGGTAAAATTTCCCTCTTTATTCCTTCCTTGGTGCGTGTCTTGTTTTACTAATTACTATAGTCACTCATAGCCAGCCAGCCAAGCGGTTTACTTGATTTATTAGATTTCTAAGTTTTATTCATAACCTCCTTCTATCTTGGACGGTATGTAATCCATAAACAACATCACCATTTGTAAATTATATATTCTAAGTTTCTGACTAGTCCAGATATGTACTTGGGAATAGTTAAAAACATTGTCAATTGGAGTATATATTTTCATGTTAATTTTCATAGTACTATTTATTTTTAAAAACTAGTAAATTTTGTTCTTTGTGTTTCTTTATAATGCATAGGATGCGTTTGTTGCTGGCACAGAATCAACGTATACAGCTTTAGAGTGGACAATGACAGAGCTTTTAAGGCATCCAAGAGTTCTGAAAAAGTTAGAGGATGAAGTGCGAGAATTAGGCCAAGGGAAAACAGAGATAACAGAGGATGACTTAGGAAATATGCAGTATCTCAAAGCAGTGATCAAAGAGTCCCTCAGGCTTCATCCTCCGAATCCACTTCTTGTTCCTCATGAATCAATGGAAGACGTAAAATTACTAGACTATCACATACCTGCTAAAACTGAAGTCCTTATTAATGCTTGGGCAATCGGCAGAGACCCATTGTTGTGGGACGATCCAGAGGAGTACCGACCAGAGAGGTTCTTGAATAGTGATATTGATTTCAAAGGACTAAACTTTGAGTTGATTCCGTTTGGAGCTGGCAGGAGGGGTTGCCCAGGAATTACTTTTGCTATTATCATAAATGAGCTAGCATTAGCAAGGATTGTGCACAAGTTCAATTTAGCATTACCAAAAGAAGAAGAAGAATTGGACATGACTGAATGCCATGGGCTCGCTGTTCGTAGGAAATTACCTTTACTAGCGGTGGCTACTTCATGGTCTAGCTAGTGCTTAATAATTTCACGATCTGCTTCCTTTTTGGGTGTTTTGCACGTCTCTGTTATGTTGTTGTTTGCAAGATTTCTTCTTTTGACATGTTCTTGTATGCCAAAAACATCAAGCTATTCTATACGTCTTGCCGTTTGATATTTAACTATCCAACTAAAGGTTTTCCAGGTTAAGTTGGGATATAACTGATTGCAAAAGAAGCCTTGCCTTTTTCATTTTTATTCTTCAATAAACAGTGGTATAATTGAAGTGTTGAATTAATATTACAGAACCATAGAGGTAGAATTCTGTTGAAATAACTATTTGCACTTCAACGAGAAATTTGCCGGGGAACGTTTTTCGGAAATCCATTAAGGTAGAATTTTGTTGAAATAATCAAAATTTGTGTTAGATATATTTGTATTAGTCTGTCCCAATAATGTGTTTGAATTACAATAATATGAAAATGAGAATGTTAATGCTTTTTAGCTAACTTAGTAGGTGTTTGGACATCCGGTTTTATATTGCAATATAAAATTATGAGATGAAATTAGCGTTTGGATATGTGATTTCAAGTTGATCAAATTCTCCAAAAAGCATGATTAGGGATTTTTCAAATACAAAAATTGACTCACAAGTTTATAATTTGTAAAAATAACCCCACATTTATGTCTACTAATATTTTATTTCACATGTAAATAAAATTTATAATTCATATCATTACTTTTTGAATCATTTATATCTCATATAACGATTATTCTCAACAATATAAATTTATTTTACTTCAAATACATTCCAACTTTACCATATATATTCACCAAATACATTCCTACTTTGACCAATTTTTTTTGTGGGTGTTTGTGATGATTTAATAAATTATGTGTGTTAGTTCGAATGGGTAATTATAGGTATTTATAAGTTCAAATGAGGTATGGACTGTGAAATAGAGTTATTCTATACCCAAAACTAACATCTAAAGCCAAAATTATGAACGTTCGAAGTTTCTCTTATTTACAACTACACTAGTCTCTGGTAAAATGGTCATAATGCTTAACTTTAAACATTGAATGATACAAAATTGGTGGCATTTGAAAGAAAACTCATTGACCTACAATTTTCATATGTCATGGCTCACCTAATTCATTACGTACTAAAAAATATGGTAGTATACATTGTTTGCCTTCAAGAGAGGCACACATTGATTGCATGTAGTTCTTCGACCAAATTTTTTTGTGGGTGTTTGTGATGATTTAATAAATTATGTGTGTTAGTTCGAATGGGTAATTATAGGAATTTATAAATTCAAATAAGGTATGGAACGTGAAATAGAATTTTCTATACTCGAAACTAAAATCTAAAGACAAAATTAGGAACGTTCAAAGTTTCTCTTTTTTACAACTACACTAGTCTATGATAAAAAGGTCATAATGCTTTACTTTAAATATTAAATAATACAAAATTGGTGGCATTTGAAAGAAAACTCATTGACCTACAATTTTCATATGTCATGGCTCACCTAATTCATTACGTACTAAAAAATATGGTAGTATACATTGTTTGCCTTCAAGAGAGGCACACATTGATTGCATATAGTTTACCCACAAAAGATTTTTGTGGGTGTTTGTGATGATTTAATAAATTATGTGTGTTAGTTCGAATGGGTATTTATAGGTATTTATAAGTTCAAATGAGGTATGGAACATGAAATAAAGTTTTTCAATAACTGAAACTAACATCTAAAGCCAAAATTATAAATGTTCGAAGTTTCTCTTATTTACAACTAAACTAGTCTCTGGTAAAATGGTCATAATGCTTCACTTTAAACATTAAATGATACAAAATTGGTGATATTTGAAAGAAAACTCATTGACCTACAATTTTCATATGTCAAGGCTCACCTAATTCATTCCGTACTAAAAGATATGGTAGTATACATTGTTACACATCGATTTCATTTGATTTTTTGATAAAAAATCTTTATGGGTGTTTGTGATGATTTAATAAATTATGTGTGTTAGTTCCAATGGGTAATTATAGGTATTTATAAGTTCAAATGAGGTATAATACTTGAAATAGAGTTTACCTATACCCGAAACTATCATCTAAAGCCAAAGTTATGAACGTTCGAAGTTTATCTTATTTACAACTACACTAGTCTCTGGTAAAATGGTCATAATGTATTACTTTAAATATTAAATGATACAAAATTGGTGGCATTTAAAAGAAAACTATTTGACCAACAATTTTCATATGTCATGGCTCACCTAATTCATTCCGTACTAAAAGATATGGTAACATACATTGTTTGCCTTCAAGAGAGGCACACATTGATTGCATGTAATTTTTTGACCAAACATTTTTGTGGGTGTTTGT